AAATGGACACATACTACAATCATAGAACAAAATCTTTTTCTTGGTGAAAATAATTATCATACAGCAACAGCTAACTGCCCTTTAGACTAAAATCAGTATTAACAGAAAGAAAATCAAAAGACTTAATTAGTTGTAGGCTAATTAATCACCTGCAGCTCATGTTCAGGTGATGTATCTCATGAATATTGTTCACAAAACACCTAAGCCCCAAACTTCATCAGAATTTGAAATTCCATCTTTGGCGGCACTCACAAAAACTGGACAAGGCCTTGAGCAAGCTGCTCTACACCAGCCACATTTTGAGCAGGGGTTTGGCCCAGATGGCCCCTCAGAGTCTCTTTCAACCTGTGAGATCCTATGAATCTGTATCTTACAAGATGCAAGGAAGGAACAAAAAAAAGAATAAAAAAACAAGAACTTCAGGCGTAGCCATGCCGTGTGATACCTGGCATGTGAAGCAGTGTTCTTCTGACCAATACCAAAATCAGAGTAGAAAATAAAAACAAGAACATTAAATACAGCAGTGAAGAAAGCGTTTTGGGGGGAGCAGGGTAAATACACAAAATGTTCCTTCCCCAACTGAAGGATTCAATACAATTTTGTTTGTTGCCCATCACAACAGAAAAACAAAACCTTGAATTTGAAGCTTGCAAACGCAAGCAACAACCACAGTCAGCAAGACTTGTAGTACATCAGCTAAAAACCTCCAAATTACCTTCTTGGAAAAAGTGAGCTAGAGTCAGAATTCCAACTGCAAATTATTAAAATTATCAAAATTCAAAATTACTCAGATACTAACATTACTCTTTCAGTGTGCTTTGTATATCGAATTATTACAAAAGTTATTTGCGATGATTTTGAATGGAAGTGATTCCTTTGTGTTTATATCCACCTTAGTACTCCATGTAAAACTGCCAGATTTTTTATCTATAACTTCACAATGCAATCTGTTTTAAACTCTTGAAAATAAGACACAATTCTGAGCAATAAACACAACAAGTATTGAAAGAAAAAGCATTCTTGATGGATGATTTTATCTGAGTATCTGAGGAAATAATAATTTCCCCTCACATTCAAATATATTCTCTTTTTTCAATGAAAACTAACGGAGTAAGAACGGTATCTTAAATAAGGATGAGGAAAGCATCTGATATGACAGATATTAAAGTATTTGCAAACTCATTTTTGTTAGCGATTGGAAAACAGTGATTTTTGTCTCTATCTTAATGTATTCTGCCTTAGGTTCCTGATCACACAAACATGGTAACAGTTATCTCCAGGACAAAGTTGTTTTGAAAACTGCAACAGAAGTAATTTTGTTAACTTTCCAACACAGCAGTGATATGTCACATATAAAGAATGTGATACTTTGTAGGATGTAAATTTTTTTGAATTTCATTTTATTTTCTATTCTTTACTTAATAATCAATTTGTTTTGGGACTGATGTAGAATGTGCAACAAGATCTCAACAGATTCAGAGAGTGATGAGTATTCTAATACAGTGGACAGCTGGCCATACAGTCTTGATGTACATTTGTCACACGAATTCTTCTCTTCTGGTTTTCATCACTGTAAAATCTCCAGCTGTGAGCACTGTATCAGTATATACATGCAATAGAAGCACTTAATAGATTGGTTTCTATCCACTCTCCCTTACTTACTAACATGAGAGCTATATTCCTATGCTATTCCTATTTATGCTATGGTGGAAAAAGAAACACAGGTAAAAGAAACAACTTCTGCATAGAAAAGTTCTATATGTGAGTAACTAGAGAGCTTGGGTTTTTTTGTTGTGCTTGTTGAACATTTTGTAACACAATAAAAATCAATTATATGCAGAAAAAATGGTTGAGGTTTTTTATTTAGATTTGGGGCTTAAGGGGTTAATTTTCTACTGGGGAAAAAGACCATCTCTAAGAAATGTCTTCTCTTCTGGAGAAGCCCATGGAGGTCTTGCTTCACTGCAGCTGTGTCAGAAGAGCTAATGGCACCATGAGGAGTACAGATCTGGTCTGGGTTTGTCACGTTTTGACTCAGAATGTGAACCATGATAGAGATCAGACTAAACTGCAATCTGGATCCTGAACTCTGACAAAGCAATATCTTTGGAGAGGGTGTGAAATACAGGAGAAGACACAAATAAGAGCTCTGAAAGCTAGCTAAGTCTGGTTTTCACATGATGGCCACCTTATTTTAGACTTTAACCAGAAAGCTCTTTTACTTTAAGAGCAAACGCTTCCAGTATCTTTCTGACCACTAATACCTCAGAATCAAAAACCTACTTATCTCATAACATGAATAGAAAGGAAAATACCAGGAGAGAAGAATTACTGGGTACATAAGCAGCTGTCCTTTCTCTCTTCGGGGTACTTTATTTGAAAATAGCTATGTTAAAGTACTAATGTCAAAGTTCCTGTGCTCATAGTTTTTCTTGGAACAACATCAGGACTTCGAACTCTTTCAATATGAAATTAACAAAGCAGCTACTAAACTAAATAGAATTTGCTTAAACAGCCTGAAAGACATTTAGTTACATACTTCAGAATGGTTTTTAAAAAGCACTTAAACCCTATTTTAGGTTTTAGAACTGTTTCCTCAACTTTTTTGTTATGCATTTCCAAGCTGAAACGTTCCTCTTCTCCCAAGTGAAAAATGGGCATATAGTTTCAGTCTTTACTAAAATTCTGTGCACTTTGCAATAAAACATTAACTTCAGATTTGTGTTTTGATAAAGCACTAAAATAACATTCTTCCATTCAGACTATTGAGTCTTTTTTTTTTTTTTGCATTGCACTATCAATAGCAGATTTAGTCCGCCTGTAAAACCAGAGAGCACACTTTTCCTCTTCCCCTTCTCCCCCATCACTCACAAGCAGTTAAACTCTGATAATTCCTTGCCTCCTCCACAGGATTGAAGCACTTTTAATATCTACAGCTTCAACTGAAAAATATAGTTTATTTAAAATAAACATTTCCCTTTCTAAAGTGTCTATATTAAAGCTAGCTACATTTCCTTTCCCTAAAAATGTTCATAAGATCTTTACAATTTTAGATTATGTTCAAACTTGAAGTATGTTGCAAAGCCAAATGGAAAGATCTTGAATCTAATTTCTATAAACCTAGTATCAGGAGAGATGACAAATTCAAAACCCAAGCAAAGCATCCCTAAATGTATTAAAAAGCATGCTATATGTTTAAACTTCTGTTCAGTTCTGGTGAACCCAAGTTAAAAACTTAAATAAATATAGACCTACAAAAGCACCAACATGATTTGCAGCCTGGAACAATGACCCTATTAGGAAATCTTGAAAGAATTGGGATTGGTTCTAAATTAAGAAAGGAAAAGAAAGGATATAATTGCAGGAACATGTGAAATAACGACTGACACAAAGCTATTTTTCCTATCAGCTCACTTCCTCTCATACTTCAAGAAGAGTAGCACTGGCCAATAAAATTGGAAGAAGAAATTGAAAATTAAATATGTAATGCATAATTAGCTGGTAAACCGCAAGTGACCATTGTACTCAAGACTGCAAAGAAGATTATATGCTTATGTAGGAGTTAACGAGAAAACCAACAGCTCCTTTGTGAAGGATTAAAGTATACATGGAATACAATCAGCCTTTCAAAGTTCACACCAGACCAACTGATTTGGTTTAGGAAAAACCTAGGGTGGATGTTCCTTAATAACCCACAGCATGACTTTTTTGTGTGGTTGGGTTTTGTTTTCTCAACTAATCTTTATGTGCTCTGTCTACTGCTGATTGCTTTCACACACAATATCTGAGATTAAATGGACCATTTCCATTCCTGGCCTTCAATCAAAATTCTTCAAAATGTGGAATTTTTAGCTTATTCTTAACTATGATTGCCACTGGGATTATTTCAGTAAGCATATTTTATTTATCTTTTGTGCAGACATGAAAACAGAAATTTTATTTTTAGCTCTGGTAAATGAAAAAAAATTAACTTTCAGAACATTCCATTCCTCCTGCAATTAAATGATGAAAACAGAACTAAAATGTAACTCTCAAGATCACCTGTTATTGCAGTGCTACTTATTCCTTTAAGAATGAGATTTCAAGAGCTTAGTGATCATTTCCATGCTGAAAACCCTTAAGAGTTTGAAAACTTGCATAGTCTTTTGTGACCCTACCATCGGTACACTAAAATCTCGAACTCCTTACAGACACTGCACCATTTCCTTTCATCTCCTGTTTATGTATTTGAAAGAATAAGAGACATTTTTGGTCAAGAGTAGTCTTATCAAGAATTCCAACATTTCAACCAATTTCTGTTTTCCCAGTGAAATGAGAAGCCCTCCAAATACATTTTTAAACTATTGTCATTTCAACAACAAATGTCAGAAATGTACTTAAAACCCGCTTGTGCCAAGCTTTGAAGCTCTTAAAAACTGACAGTTGTATTCTTTTTTCATTTTCCGTGATATGTGAATTTATTTTTAGGCTTTTCAGGGAAGCCTTACTCAAAATAAACTAAAGGATCTCCCATGCAGAATCTAAAAGGAACTATAGAGCAGGTACAAAGGAAATTGTATATTTGTATACATACTGTTGATCTTCATGCACATTTATCCTGCAGCATAATGTTAAAATAAGTGACAACTGAAGAGATTTGGAAAAAAATTACAAAAATCAAAATTATAAAAATAAAGAGTTTCAATATGTTGTCAATCACTTTCTAACAGTGTCTAGCAATAAAGTAAAAGAAATTTCAAATAGATAAACTTTATGGTATTTTTAGTTCCCACATTACATGAGTAAAAATATAAAATACTTTGTTTAATATACTTTGGAGAAATTATTTTACAACATGTAAATAAATGTAATATGAGTAGCCTTATTATTTCAATTAAAATGATACCACTTTGTTAAAAAGAGGCCAATCCACAATTGCTAAAAATTATGATGCCAATTAGATCACAAATACAAAACCTAAACAGAAAAGCTAACACACAAAAAGGAGAATCAAATCTTACCCATTCTTGAAATATAAAACATGTGCTCTTTGAAGTCCTGTTTCCAGGAAAAAACCAAGTTCTTGTTCATGTGTAGTGGGCCCTGGCTTAGGGCTTCTGTTTTGTATATTGGCATTAATTACCTAAGGGAACACACACAAAAAATTATTTAGAAATAAATAAATAAATAAATCAAGTTTTGTGGACTTTTACACAGAGTTAATATTTAATGTTGGGGAAATCTTTTTCATTTGTAGATGCTGGCTAGTAGACTATTTCTATCCTTACCTCCATTCCCACAAAAATATAAATCTTTTTGCTCTTGGCTATACCCTTAAAGGTAATCTTTTCACCAAGCAGAAATGCTACTAAGGAAAATTTTACAATAATTTCTCAGAATCTTTTGTGAGGAATGGTATACAAAAGAGAAGTATATGAAATGGCATATTTGCAACCTTAATCAGTAGCAGGTGACAGTTCTCAGAATCTAAACCCCTGTTAAGTAAACAAAGACTGCTGCAGAAAGCAGTAAGAAGGTTAAAAGTGACCTCCAGAGTGATTAAAAAAAAAAAAAAAAGAAGAAATAATTTAATTTGTATAACATTGACTTTAAAAATGCTCTCAAAATGGACAGCTATCAGCTTTCATTTGCCATCATATTCACCATACACAGCCGATCAGCCACTAAAAGACAGTAACAAAACAAACAAAAAGCCCAAAGCAAAAAACACTCAGAAAATAGAAATGTTTCTCTATTTAAAAAGCACTGTGAATCACTTTTCTTACCCCATCTCACCAACGGTTTCCTTCCTCTTCCTTTTGCTTGTGTGTCCCTAACCAGTTCCAATAACCCCTTCAAAGACAACTGTCAAAGGACAAGCCTGGGTCTTACAAGCAATAAGTGTGTTAAAAGAGGGTCAGATTGATACTGCTAGCTTGCTTCAATTCTAACATTATTCACAAGCCAAAGAATAGAGGCCCAAGTGTATTGTATTTCATCCAGACATATCTCAAAGCCTAAATAAAATGCAATAGTGTGTAACTCCTAGAAACAAAGGGTACCACAAATTATCTTTTCTTTAAAAAAAAAAAAAAAAAGAAAAAAAAAAGAAGCATTTATAACACTTAAATCTTACCACTTCTAAGTGCTAAGAAACAGAACAGAAGACAAGGTTAATGGTGTAAATGAAAATAAGAAGAGGAAATAAAAGAGCCTATGTATCCCTTTAAATTCAGATAAAGCCTGAAGCTTTTAAATCACAGAGCACTATGCTCTTTACAAATAAAGAGCCTAACCTGAAATTTCCATAATTCATTATCCATAACTTAGAAAATAGGAGGAAAAGAGAAAACAGTAACTTGCCTACTATTCTGCAGAGCTGTAAGTTGTATTTTGTCTAACGTTGTGAAGCCCAGATATATAAGCTTTCATCAATAAAAAACAGATCTCCTACATGTCTAGTACCTCCGATTTTAACTGTATCTGTAGTATCATACATACAGTGAGTAATATATTAATGAGAAAGTGGAAAATAGGCCACCAAGTCCAAGAACACTGTCCTGATCCAATTTATAAAACTATTAAGATTTATCTGAAGTTCATCTATGTTTTAAAATCATATGTTTATCTGGCTATCATATCTGATGATTTTTTCATTGTCACAGGATTTGGCCTATTAGTTGAAGCAAATGTACTTTCAGATGCTATTCTGGACACACCAACAATAGCTTAAGTGTCTTGCTGATAGGTAAAATGTTATTTCAGAATTTTACTGCCAAGTAGTTTTATAAAGATGACTTAAAACCAGTTAAATTATTAGCTCCAAATAAACAAGAAGATCAGTTTTCAGTCTTTGTAGCTTCATTTTGAATTCAATTCTTTTTAAGAATTATCTGAAAAGCTAGTTAGTATATGCATACAGTGTACATATTCCAACATGTGTATTTGAAAGACACCATAATCCCATGTTCGTAAATGAACTACTACAGGGTAAGAAGAGGCCACAGATGAGCATCTTGAATATATATAGTAGTTCAGAGGAGCTCTGTCCCTTTTTAGACTACTAGCACTATTTTCTAAGAGGTCAGAATGAGAGAACATTCAGGAGGACAGCTACCAGACATCCATTAAGGCATATTAATTTATTGTCCAATTGTAAATGTGCATCAAAGCCCTAAGACAAACCATATCAGATGTCTTTTAGATGAGTTACGAAACTGCTGGTAACACCACACCACATCAGTGAAAAATGAGCCACGCAATTCTTCAATTAAGCAAATCATCCCATCTTACCCTTTCTATCTCCTGAAGGTACAGAAGAGCAATATCCCCTGCCTTCTCATAGCATGTAATAATTTCCTGTTCACGGTCCACATGGAGGTTGCTGGCTGAAGAAGAAATTGGCAGCTTCTCAAGACAGAGACCTGGGCAGGGAGGGAATAAATAAATAAATAAAATTTCAAATGAAGTGTTAAAAAATAATGTCATATAATAATACACCTAAAAAACAGTACAGGCTAAGACCCTGTACCAAAAGCTTAAAGGTATGGTCCTCTGATACAGACATTAAGAAACACATACCTAACAGTAACTCTTCTTAATAATCATAAAACCAGAAGCAGTACTGTTTTAAGCGATTTTGATTTAAAAGACATTATGATGGTCTACCACAAAAACCCCTAGTGTCTTTCTATACCAGTTTTAAACTACTGAATACCTCTTCATTTTTCCAGACTGATCATAGAAACCAAGGCAGGGTGAAGAAAGGCACTCATGGCAATATTAAACTTAGTGCCTGTGCAAGGCAGAAGCACCTATAGAAACAAATACATTTAAAAAAAAAAAAAGTGGTTAGGAAGAGTAATTTTGTATTTAAGTTTTTCAAGAGGTAGCTAGCTCGCTCTCATCAAGGCACAAAAGTCTTTTCCTCTCAGGACGTATCCAAATACATTATCTAGTACTTTGAAGGACAAAAATAAAATAAAGTCTTTGCTTGTCTAAAATAAAAACCCAACAACTCATACTAATCTATGCTATCTTCTACAGAAGCCATTTCTATTACAGTTATTTCCAAGATAATTAGAGAAAACAGCTGGAAAGCACCTGAAGAACACTAATCCATTTTTCTGACCAAGGAATCAACCAAATCCAGACATTTGTCTAACCTGTTCTTAAAGGCCTCAGATGACAGGGATGCTTTGGCCTTCCTATGCAAATTATTGCAGAACTCAACTACTCTCACAATTAGCATTTTCTCCTAATGTCTAGATCTCCCTCCCCAGATTAATTACTCCTTCTTCACAGAGAGATTATTCCTTTCTTTATGAAACATTTTTTCCTATGTTTATCTAGAGAGAAACAGTCATGCTTACAGCAAATGTCAATTCTCCCTTACTATGCTCTATTCCTTGACAGGTAATCATTTTTATCTCCTCTAGACATTCTCTAACTGGTTACCTCTCTCTTGACTAACTGTGCCAAAACTGGATACGCAGCTCCAGTCAAAGTCTCAATAGCACTGAGCAGAGAAGATTCCTTGTTTTGGTATAGGATACATAAAAACACAAATGAAAATGCAAATCAGAACTTCAGTGCCCTTCCTTACATATTAGTAAAACATTCTCTTCTGTTTATGATCTGTAACAGATTACCAGATCATATTCTGCAGGCCAACTGCCTCATCAGTTACCCCATCTTGTATTTATTTGAGTAATTATTTGTATTGAGGTACAGCACTTTCTACATTTTCTTAAGAGACTTATTCCAGGTCATTCTTCCAGCTTGTCAGCTTGCTCATCTTAAAAGTGCCTTCAACCACTCACACATTAATGTAACTCATAATTTAAATGAATATATTCTTAATTCATCACCCAGAGTTTTGAGAATCTATTGCTGGAGCAATTAAAACCAAAACCAACAACAAAACACAGTTATATATTGGGCAGATGTCTGCAGAAAGCCATGTAGTACAAAACCCTAATTTGGAGACTAGTTTATCAAAAAGATTTCTACCCATCAATACTGTAAGGTGAGGACAGTATGTTTTATTGGAATTACGTCAGTTTTCTTACTAAAACAACTTAGGAAGACACAGCCATGGAACCTGGAGTTTGTTTATTAATAAAACTCAGAACTATGCAATATTTACGACCTCCAGATTCTTTTAAAACATCTATTAAGTTTAAATATCTCCCCACAGAAGTAGAATTGATCTGTATTTAAAAAAAAAAAAAACATCAAGCCATATTTCTGGCTTGAGAGGATGCCTTAAGCCTGTATCAGAGTTTACTGGCCACTTTTACCCTCCAATCCACCCTTTCACCAGTACAATCAACAGATATTCTACAGCTCTATTTGCTAGATATACATCCAGTTAAAACAAAATCCTGACTCCAGTACTAACTGCTCTGCTAAAGACAAAATAAAAACCAATACACTTTTCAAAAACCTACACATTCCTAAAGTGAAGCAAACAGACACCAGACTTTTCTGACATGTTACAGTTTCACCCAACATATCTCTGAAAATGAACTATGTTTGAAAATAGTCTAGAGTAGCCTACACTAATCTGCTTTCTTTTAATTTTTCAGTTAAATAGCAAATATCCAAAAGTCTTTTTGCTAACTGTAAATCATAGACCCAAAAGCAGCAAGATTAAACTTCAGAAAAAGGTCAGTTCTTCTGCTACCATAGTAAGCTTGAATGGACCCTCTGATAAGACCTAAATACAATGTTGATGCTGGATAGAAAGTTTGCCGTGTCCTACACAAAAACCTTCAAACTGACATAGAAGTGGCCATAAAATACAATAAATGAGCTGCAGTAAAACTGTCAAACGACTGAAAGCACCAGATAGTTGGTAAGCGGATCACTCCTCCCCACCCCTTCTCTCCCATGACATGAACAGCCAGTACCCCACAGTAATCCTCCACTACATGAAACATATTACTCAACTGTCTATTTGTAGAATTGACTTGGATTTATTATTTCTATTTTTATGCTTTATGGCCACAACTATAATCTTTTTAATCTGAAAAACTCACTATAAGAACATTCTCTCATTTTGGCTGAGAATTTTCTTTAAGATACAATCTGGGAAAGTATATACATTTTAAACATACAATGCTTTGGAGTAGGAATTTCATTTGGAGAACTATCCTGAGGTGACCACTTAACAGGATGGTTTGGACACTGTATTTGTTTTGATGACAGAAGGAATAATTGCAATTCAATACTGTATTAAAAACAAAAACATATCAATTAGAAGAAAACCCCTGAATAAATTATGATTTCTGTAACAAGCTAAACCTATAATTTCTCCAGAGTAGCTGTTTAATTTTTTTCTTAAATACAGATTAAATTTAAGAAATAATGTATTAAAGTACATAAAAGTATTATTTAATTTTAAATAGATATAAGTAGCAACACAACAATGACAACCACATAATATACTGTCCCCTTCTTTGTAAGAATACCGAGAGATGATAAAAGTTAATTAAAATAGAGATTATTATATTATGCCCTTAAACAAAAGAACAAGCAAATAGTAACAAACAGAAGTGAGAAACACATGAGTTTCAAAGAAATACAAATCACCCTGAACTATCTGCTGAGGACTTTTTCATATATTCAGACAAGTCAGGTCTCCCTTTGTGCTTGTTCCCGCACCTGCCAGGCAGGAATCTCTGCTTTTCTCCCTCAAAAGGGCAAGAATTTCTTCAACTGTTTATGAACTGCCTTGAGATATTTGGAAAAGAGCTACATGTTACAGCAACAAAATACTATTGCATTTGTTGTAAAGGACATAGCTGTTGGCTTGTTTAACTTTTACTGGTTATTTTGTTTTATTCTGCATTCATGAATATCACGTCAGTTGATAGGATGACTTTGATATTCATCGCTTTTAAGTTTAAGTCTTTCCAGTCAAAATCAAGTAAAAGCTTCCAACAAACTGGGTCAGTTTTATTTTGGGAAGACACTTATCTCATACATATCTAGTACTGATATCAAGCAAGCTGACTCCTGAGGGGAAAAGAAAGTGAGAAGCAGTGAAATGAATACGAGCCTGTACTGGTTAAGCTCACATGTTTTGCAAAGTAACTCTAAGTTGTCAGAAGAGCAAAACAGCAACAAAGAGTATTTGGACAAGAAAAGAGTACTCCTCATCTTTAAATTACATGATAACTTGCAAGGTTTCCTTTAAATCTTAAAAAACTTTATAACTTATCCATATTTTGTAAAAGATTCAAAAAGCAAACAGTAGACGGCTTTATCGCTTATTCCAAGTGGCATTCTCATGTCTATTGCCTCAGATCAGTGGCCAAGTTTATGCCAAGTAAATGATTTAATTTTTTTATAAATACAAAAGCACAGCAGCCCTACCACCACATATTCACACAGAGACCACTACCCAAAAAAAAGGACTGAGTAAGAACAAGTAATAAACAAACAGTTTTTAAGAAGTCCGCATCAATATATTTGCTTATTCTTATTATTTTTACGTTAAGGACAATGACAGCGATTACTTTTCACCTACAAACTACTTTAAAAAAAAGAAAAGGCAGACTTAAATGTTCTGTAGGAAAACTGATTAACTGACACTCCCATTTCATTACACAGAGTAAAACAAAAATTACTCTAATATAAAAAGGGAATCCACAGCACAGTTCAGATCTTTGCCAAGTATTTTTACCACCCAGACCACTACTGAGACCATTAAAAAAAAAACCAAACAAAACCCAAACCAAACAAATTAAAAACCCACACAAGGCTGAGAAAACTCTTCACATTTACTGCATTGTATATCTGAGGATTTTCCATTATGCCAGCCAGTAGTTCATCTGTATAAATTTTAGAGACCATAAATAACAATGGACACATGGTTTATCTACTGTCTTCCGTAGACGAGTCAAAGGACAGAGGGAAAACAGTGAAAGACTGTTTGATACATAAGAAACATGCTTTTGCAAGAAAGAAACAGTTGCATCAATAGATAAAGATTTCTGGGTTTGCTTCCTGTTTTCCTTAAATGGACAAATAAAAGCCAAGTGTGTTTGAGTACACAGCACTTATTCTTCCGTATACAATATGCAAAGCAACACTGGTAAGTGTTCCAAGCTAGAAACACACAAAAGAAACCCTTTTCAACTCCTTTTAAAAAAGTTTTGTATTTATAGCAAGCAATTACATGGACTATGGCAAACATTAGTAATTTCAAAAGAGGAACTGAAACAATCTGAGTTACTGCTATCATAGAACTCCCACACTTTATTTCTGAGCTTAGAAAAAACACTGCTAATCTCACTGAAGGGAAGGACCTATTTCTAGAAGTCCTCAAAGATTATGACTTGCTTCCAGAGAACTTTTTTAGAAAGCAAAGCATGAATGCTCTTCAATTCTCTACAGGTGTTTGTAAAGTAATTAT